TGTTGAAAAATATTTATTTTTTCAGTTTTTTTAAAAAGAAGAAAATATTTTCTTTTAAAAAAAACTGAAAAACAAAAATAAAAACGAAATGTTTTAAAAAACTAAAAAAATGAAAAAAAATATTTTTCAAAAACAAAATATTTTGTTGAAAATATTTTTTTCTGTTTTTAAAAAACATTTTTTCTGTTTTTACAATTTTTTTTCAGTTTTAATAAAAGAAATGCTTTAAAAAACTGAAAAAAATTATCTTTTTTTGTAAAAACTGAATTGTTTTTTTTGTAAAAACAGAAAAAAAAGAAAAAAAAGAGGAAGACTTTACTAAATTAGTGGACTATGGGTGCATTAGTTTAAAAAACGAAAATATTTTGCAATTTTGTTTTTTAAGCTTTACAAAAAAAAAAAATAATTATTTTTAATTTAGCATTGACCTAACTGACAAAGGGAATAAGTGAACCAAAAAAGTGGATGGAGGGGTATTTTTAGCCCAATAGGTGGATGAATGGTATTTTTAAACCTTTTTCAACAGTTTAGGGGCATTTTGAACCATTCTCCGTACATTCTATTGTGAAGGCGATGTGCTAAACAGTGCCTGTGTGATGTGTTTCCAGGAGTTACTGGCACTTGGGGAGCGCATTGGGGATGTTTGCACTGGGCTAACTGAAGATACTATTTTGAGTCGTCTGAAGCAGCGAAATTATAATTGCATAAAAACAGAAGAACCTGAGGATACAGAACCATGCTGCATATGCCGGGTACTCAATTTGATGTTCTCTACTATTATTGCATGCCTACTTAAAGTTCATACAATTAGATTGGACTCGCCAAGTAGAGTTTTTAACGGGTTTTCATTCATTTGCAGGAAGAATATAACGATGGAGATGATCTTGGAACACTGAATTGCGGCCACGACTTTCACGCTGGCTGCATTAAGCAATGGCTCATGCAGAAGAATTTATGCCCGATTTGCAAAACAACAGGGCTGACTACGTGAGGAACCATATTCTCATGTCTAAAGAAAATGAACCGCGCTACTGAAGGTTGGCGCCACTAAGTGTGCCCTCTTCTCTTCCATGGCTTAATTTGTGTAAGATCCTGTATTTTTTTCTCGTTAATTTTATTACGTCTCCATTGGGGAGTTTATTCAACAAGTCAATTTAGCGCTAGCAGGATTAGACATTCATTTAGGGAAGAATTATTTGGAAATTTACATTTCCTTTTCCAATTAATTGAAACCCTTGAACATCAGCGTGGTTCATTGCTTTTCTGTTCTTTTATACAATACAAAATGCATGAGTATCCCTGTGCATGTCTTTGATCGTTTTACCAGTTTAGAGGATTAATCAACTATGTAGACTGTGCAAGCCCTTATGGGATCGTATGGTTGGCGAACAAGTTATCTCTAGATTATAATGACATGATTATTAGAGGCGGATCTAAGATTTTAACTTTTTAGGTTCAAATTCGAAATTCTACCACATCGTATCTAATTTACTGGGTTCAAACTCTATATCTTACACTTATTTAGTTGGATTTTTAACACATGTAAGAGCTTAAGCCGAAGTTACTAGTCAGATGAATTCGTAGCTTATTCATTGGCTCCGTCCCTGATGATTATAATATTGTGGTAAATAATAACGAATTATTTAGTAGACATATTTTATTGGTAAATGTTTAGTTCATTAGACGAAAAATTGGATATATAAGATATATTATAAAATATGTATTTGATTTAAACTTATAAATTGCACAAAAATTTATTTTCAAGTTTAAGCTTGTCTTTATTAAAAAGCTTTGGAGAATGATAAATGTGTCATTTTGTTGGTTTATCCCAAAATTGGTAATCCGAGAATTATTTTCCATGTAGAGTGGTATAAAAATAATACTATAATTGTGGTTTAACAATCCCACTAATTATTAATCCCGCAATCAAAAATTGTACCAAAAATACTTCCTACGTTCATTTTTATTTGTCCACTATACTAAAAATGTTATAAAACGACAAAAGAAGAATATTGCAAAGCAAGAGAGAATTTTTATTGCTTTGAGATTAATTACAATGGAATAGGACCCCTCTATTTATAGGAGAAAAGTGACTTAGCCACCAAATAACAAGCCCTAAACACTCTAAATATAGACATTCAGCTCAAATACAATTCTATTTATAACACTCCCCCTGGAAAGTCTATTCAATAGATAATGTGCCTCGTTAAGATCTTAACTAAAACAAAACCCATTAGGAAAAAAAATTCTAGAGAAGTAAAAAGAGTACACATATCTAACAATACGCCTTTTGGTTGCCTTATTAAAAACCTTGCAAGGAAAGATCATTGGGACAAAACCTTGTAAGGGAAAAAAAGTATAACGCGTATTAACTCCCCCTGATGAGAGCATCAATTCATATCCTTGAGCCTTCGCATTCCAATCTTGTGCACTAGCTTCTTGAAGGTTGACGTCGGCAGAGATTTGATGAATAAATCAGCCATATTAACTTGAATGAATATGTTGCACCTTGAGAGTCATTCCTGATAGAGATGAATTGACTTCATATGATCTTGTTGGAATCGTCATTTCAATATCCCAACATAGGGGTAAAAACTACTATCATATTATCATGCGTATAGCTGTAGCAAGATACATTTGTGCACAATTGCACTGAGGATGTGGTACTTCAAGATCAAGAATTGTATATGCTTTAAGCAATAATCCTTCAGGGATTGTCATATAAGTTAAGTCATATAAGCCATATAAATAAACTTTAGATACATATCAAGTTTTCATGTCATGCTAGATATATAAGACAGATAAAAGTGTGCAATTATGATAGCAATAGTTTTTATCAATAAACTCCAAGTTTATTATGATATGAGTTTTTATATCAATAAACTTCTACTTTATTGTGGCATTTTTTTTGTGTGTAGTACAAATAGGGCTATAATGTGGGCCTGGCCTGTTCCTAAATGAGCTTCGTGAGCTGGTCCTATGTGGTCCCGGATTTCGTGGGCTTTTTGTAAGAACCAGCCCGGGACCGGGACCACGAACTAATAGTCCCGGGCTAAGTGGGCCGGTCTTGGGCCTATGTGGGCCTAAGTGGGCCCAACTATTACTTTCTATTTTTTTTATCTAAGGCAATTCCTTATAAAATTATATTATAGAATTGTGACCTAAATTTTTTAATTCAAATTTAAACACAAAAATATTGTAGAAGGTTGTCTAGAAAAAGTAGAGGCAGTAACAGGAGGGTCAGACGGGGCATCATTTGGATTATTATTAGTTCGGTTAACTTCAGCAACAGAATTGGGCAACATTTGGATTATTTTATTTCAAACTTACAAATTAAAGTTTACATTTAACAACAACTAAATTAACGAAAAAAGAGTAAAACTAAATTTTCATTGCATAATAATACTTCAAATTAATCCAACAAACTAAAACATTATGCATAAATACGTCTAATAGTTTTAAAGTAACACAAATTGTCTCAAATCAACTTAAATACGAATTTCTGGAGGACGCTCAAGACAACTCTTCATATGCCTCCTTAAACAGCCTGTGCCCACCCACTTTATACGAAGATTTAAGACTAGACCACAGTTCTTGCACTTCACTTTGTGAACTTCTTCATTTCCTTCTACCACCTCGAAGTGTTCCCAAACATATGAGCGCACTCTAGAAGTACGGGGCATGATTTAACTTGAATTGAGAATTTGAGTTTGAGAAATGAGAGATGAGTGAAGAAGAGGGGTGTATTTATAGTTTTTCAAATGGCTAAATTAGTAATTACTAGAAGTGTTATTTTTTTAAAAACATTGCCCAAAAAAGGACTATTCTTGCAATCAACCCGTTGGGCAACGGTCATATGACATTTTCAAAAAAAAAATCAGATTTCTAGCGGTTAAACCGGTCCGGACCGATACGGGTCGGGCCGGTTAACCGGTTCAACAGTAATTTTTGTTGACTGGGTTTGACCGGTCCGGTTAACCGGATCTCTTTTGATGAACGGACCAACCCCCTAACCCAGCCCACCCGCCCCCCTAATTACCGGCCCGTTTGACAGGCTTAGTGTCGCCTATGTACGAACCAGAAGTATTTAGTTGAATTTATCACAACCTCATTTATCAAGATTAGGACTTGTTCAGTGCCTCAAAGTTTTATGAAGAAAAAAAGGTAAGAAAATAAAGTAGGAAAACTTACACAAATGTCCCAAATAAATCTCAACTTACCAACCTCTAGCCATTAGTCATAAACTTACAAAAACTAGCCAAGCACATATAAAAATTGAAAAACCAAATAAATAAGGTTCTTTCTCTCAAAGAATCACATGCAAAAATCACCTTCCATATTTTTAAGCGTGATTAGCAACATTAGATGCAAGACGGAAAGAAATTTCATGGATGAGGTAACAAATAAGGTGATGAAATACAGAAAAAAATATACAATATTCCAAAAATCTAAGCAAAAAAAGAACTTTTTCAATGGGTATAGTTGAAATACATTGAAAACATATAGATAAGTCAATATACAAAATTTGAGAAAGATTGGAGGTGATTTGAACTGGTTTTGTATCGAATTCGTAATTAAATCGAGTTCAAATAATTCTCCTGCGACACATGTATCACGCATGTATTTCATACACAGGTATACATAGATATACATGTGATACACAATTGATACAAATATGATACATATCTGATACACAAATGATACACAGTGTGATACACATATCATTTTTTTATGTCTAGTTTTTACTCGTAATTTCAACTTAACCACCTACAAACTTCACTATATCACTCCCAAAACTGAGATTCAAGCTCCTTAAGATCGTACCCAATCTATTCTAATACATCCACTCAGAAGAAAGTAAAATTGATTATTTTNTTTGTATAACTATCGTAATTTATAGTAATATGAAGTAAAAATATAAAACAAAAAAATAATCTTATAAAAAGAGTGTTTGAATAAAAGGACGCAAAGGCTTTAAAATCCTCATATTTAAAATTTTGAATATTTTATTAAGAAATAAGAATTTAAGATAATAGAATATAATGAAGATGGAAAAAAATTGCACTTATAATTTACATGTTCTTTTTTTATTTCAAACTTACAAATTAAAGTTTACATTTAACAACAACTAAATTAATGAAAAAGAGTAAAACCAATTTTTCATTGCATAATAATACTTCAAATTAATCCAACAAACTAAAACATTAAGCATAAATACGTCTAATAATTTAAAAATAACACAAATTGTCTCAAATCAACTTAAATACGAATTTCTGGAGGACGCTCAAGACAACTCTTCATATGCCTCCTTAAACAGCATGTGCCCACCCACTTTAGATGAAGATTTAAGACTAGACCACAATTCTTGCACTTTACTTTGTGAACTTCTTCATTTTCTTCTACCACCTCAAAGTGTTCCTAAATATATGAGCGCACTCTAGAAGTACAGGGCATGATTTAACTTGAATTGAGAATTTGAGTTTGAGAAATGAGAGATGAGTGAACAAATGAAGGAGGGGGGGGGGGTATTTATAGTTTTTCAAAAGGCTAAATTAGTAATTACTAAAAGTGTTATTTTTTAAAAAATATTGCCCAAAAAAGGACTATTCTTGCAATCACTCTTGGATTTTCCCTTGCTTTTACTAAATTTGCAATAATATAGTAACCAATTATAGAAGAAAATTAGAGAGAGATTGATGATTTGGTCAGAAAAATGAAAGAGAAATAAGGAAAAAGTGTAATTATAAAAAGTTTGGGGTTGAAATAAAGTTGGGGGGGGGGGGAGGGGTTAAATGGCTATTTTGGCAGCCCAAACGACTACTTTTTAAATGCCCTAACGGGCAGATTTTTTTTTAAATTTGGAGCCGTTGGGCCCGTTTAGGCCTGTTTAGGACCGGTTGAACCGGCCCACTTCCCAGCCAGTCCCGGTCTCGCGGGCCTCATGCACAAGACTGGCCCACTACCCAGCCTACCTTGTCCCGGTCCTATCCGGTTAGGACCGTTTAGGCCCACCGCCCATTTGGGCTTGCGGTCCTGGGTTGGGACCGATCCTAATCGGCCCACATGCCACCCTTAAATGGACCATAATCATCTATATATGTTTTATAGAATCTCATGTCAAATCAATGACAAACATTACTTTCATAGAGTGAAAGATTATTTTGAGAATCCTTATTATTCTCATTACCACGATGATGACGATTATAATTTCGTCTATTACCACATCCATATCCATTGATACATTT